TGGTTGATGGTTTTCGGTCTGTTGATTCCCATTGAAAATACAATCTTTTGGATTTATTTCACTTCATATATCGGCCTTTCAGTTACACATTTTCAATAGTTTATGGCATCTGTTGAGGTCAGATTTCGTACCTCATCTCTCACCGTACACGTGGCAACTCGGGCTCCGGAAGGCCACTAAACGAGCCACCGCGACTCCCCGAGCAGGCAAAATCGACTGGTCGACTGCTCAGCCTCACCGGTCGACCTTATGAGTCGACGGACAGCCTTGGGCATCAAGTCACGAGAAAATATCCATAAGACATTTCTTATACAAGATTTGGCAACAGAATCAGCCATAATAGGAAAGAAATCGACCTCTCAAGCTAGAGGAACTAATGAGGAAAAAGGTCAACAGTTGACTTAGGCCGCAAGATACCCTCTAAGAAATGCGAAAAGGGGAACATTTTTTCATTCGCTTTCCAACTCACTTTGAAAATTAATTGTGAACACGTTTTATGCACAAAAGTATGATTTCCTGTTGTATGTTTTGTTTACCATGAAGTTCAAGTGTAGAAGTACATTATTGTTAATTAATTATTGCTGTAGAATGAAGGTGAAAGAGAGACTTCAAAGTTGTAGTTGGGGATAAGTTAAGTTTTTCTCGGCATTAGCATAACTATGTGATCAGATTGTTCTTGGTTTGGGTGGGATGGTTTTGGTGGTCATTGTCCGACCGAACTGAGATCATCGGTCTTTCAAAAGCGAAAATTATCAACAATTGATGACCTCGACATTGTATGCTTCACGGGTTTGGTTGCTTTGCACTAACTAGTTGATGACAACGGTGAGAGGGAAGACGGCAAGCCGGGGAGATTGGACCCAAGGGACCGCAAGTTTGAGGGCGTGAATCGTGGAAAGGGTAGGGCTGTCAACAAATAGAAAGGGTAGGGCTGTGAATTAATTTGTGCAAGTGTAGAGCACGTAGAGTTTTTCATGGTTTTGATACGTGCTTCATGAATTTCAATTCATAAAGCGTAGAGGTTCTCCTTTTTTAAAAGCTTCGAGTGAAAACCACCTTTCAACCTTGGCGATTGCTGGTGTTTCTTTGGTGTCGAACAATGACGCCAATCAGTAGACGTTTGGTTCATGAGTTCAGAACCATTTTCGGTTTACATGTGTTTTTTATGAGAGAAAACGTTGTAGCGAGTCACGAACTATGATTTGAATCATGACACGAACCATTCCTCCAAACGCAGTCAATGTATCATTGCTAATGCCAGTCGGTCTAGGCAGATTGCTAGGGGTTTTTTTTTTTTTTTTTGTGACACAGATCACTAGTTAAACACTTCCAATGGTAACGAATGGCCGTGCTTAGAGATTGTTATCATCAATAGTAATGAAGGGCCGTGCTCAAAAAATATTTAGACAATTTTTAAAAATACCCCTTAAAATGGAGTCCTTTTTATTTATATTCCTTAATAATATTAGTTTATATGTTTTTACCTTTTAAACTATAACTAGTTCAGGGATATAGTTTTTTTAAAAAGAATATTTTTAGTAAGTCAGGTACTAAATAGGTAGAATTTATAATTTTTTTTTAAATTTTATCCTCATAATAATTGTCCATTCCTTTCACATGTGGAGGAGGGTTTGAACCTATTATTCGGTTTCAGCCCATTTTTAGTTGTTAAAATTTTAAATCTGGACTTTGGTTAATAACGTGTGTGGACATAAACTTATAGGTTTAGAGAATTTAACTTCTCCTTAAGTTCTCATGGGTTTGAACCTATCTATTACAGTATTTCTAGTTTAAAACTATAGTTTTATTTGTGGTTTACTCATAAATTTCATACTAATCTAACACTAATTCAAACTTTTATTTTATGATGTGATGTTTTATTCTCTATTTAGATTTTACACTTTTAAATACCAGTTTGAATCATAATAAATTTAAATAAGTTCAGAACTATTAACACGTCTTTTTTTTTTTTTAAGTTAAGAGTTTGAGTTAAAAATGAATTTATGTATGAGAAAATATAATAACAAAAATATTAAATTTAAATTTTTATAAAAGAATAATGTAGTAAAAATTTTGAGTTGTAATTCTAATTATGAAAAGAACGTACTCGTGAAGTGACCGAATCCTAACATTAATCCTAACACGTCTTTATTTTATGATGTGATGTTTTTGAATGTGAGGGATCAAAAACATCATATTTGGGGAAAAAAATGACATTAATGAATATAAATAAGGTTGAAACCGGAATAGGCTTCAAATAATACTAGAGGTAGGTACTTGTCTTTTCTTTATTATTATTTTTTTTAAAAGGATAAGCTAGGGCATATGTGTTTTTCAATTATTATGGGATAGGATATATAGGACTTAGGCCTTTGTCTTGGTAATTACGTTTAATTTCTAATGCCAGAAGCCGGTAGTCTGTCCTGATCTCCTAAAAAAACAAGTAATTAATAAAAAAAATTCATTGATAAAAGATAAAAGAGTAATAAAAAACTTTAGAAAAGTTAATCGGTGCGTTTAGAATGCATTTTAAAATAATTTTATTTTTTGTATAAAAATAAAAATAAAAATAAAAACGTTTTTAATTTCAGACAGAAATTATTTTTAAAAATATATTTAGTAGGTTTATTAATAGATTATTTTCAGTATAAAAAAATTTAATAATGTTTCTCTTTCTCTCTTCTGCTCGAGAGAGGAGAAAATAAAAATAAAAAATGAAAAATAGTTAAAAATCATTTTTCATTTCTCTCTTATTTTACATTAAATCAAAAAATCGTTTTCATTTATGTTTTTTATTTTTATTGCGTCAAACACTGTTTTAAAAACGTTTTTTTTTTTTTCGTCAAACAACGTAAAAAATAAAAATAGAATCAATTTCAAACACGATATAGTATCTAAACGTAACCCTCCTAAAGATTAGATTCTATAATTAAATTTATTTAAAAAATTATGATCGTTTTTGAGATTTTAATTTAAAAAGTTATGATCGTTTTCGAGTGTTGATCGCATTGGTGAATTAATTGGAGTTGATTTGAGTCCGGCCAATTAAATTTTTTTTGTTGCTTGGACAAGCAACCAAGTACACATCACAAGCCAGCCCAGCTGCTCTTTCGCCAGGTGAGAGGGAGAGGCCTTTGACTCCCCACTCTCTATATATATACATACATACACACACATGACACACCCAACTTCATTCCCCTCCTTTCAACATCCTTTCTCTCTCCTCTCCGTCTCTCTGCTCCGTCCTCGGTTCCGATTCATGCAAAGCCACTTTTTAGGGTTCTGCTCTCTCTAATCAGTTCGCCATGGCCTTTCAGGGAAAGAAGCTTATCAACGACCCCAACGGTACGCTTTCTGAACTCTTCACCCCTTCTCTCTCTATTTTTGTATGCATTGTATTCTGGCGACTACTTTCTCGTCATTTTGCTTTGATTTCCTCGGAATTGCGGTTTTCTTCTGGTAATCGCTTTGCGACCGCTCTTGTTTGGTTGCCGAGAAAACGGCAGTAAAGCGGTCGAAGCAATAGTAATAGGAGTTCTGGTTTCTAATTTTGTCACAGTGATAGAATTCCCAAGTTGGTTTTTTTTTTTTTTTTAAATATTTTTTAAGAGACGCATGATGGTTCATTTATCTACGTTTCGCGAAATTATCTCCTATTTTTTATTCCAATATGAATCATTTTTTCTTTTTCCAAATTTTCATTTTTTTTTTGTGCGTTTGTTCTATTTGATTACTTACAAATGTGGGAAATTAAAAGAAATGAATAATAAATATTCTTAATATTATGTTATGCTTTTGTACTAGACTTGTTAAGGATTGAATACTCATTTAGTAAATTATCCTAGTGATGATCCAATCTAATTGTATATGTATATGTATATGTGTATATATGTATATGTATGTATCTATATATATATATATATATATATATAGAGAGAGAGAGAGAGAGAGAGAGAGAGAGAGAGATGTGTGAAATCATGAACTTTGTTTCGTGTGGATTTAGCATTTCGTGTGATGGGTGTTATGTTCAGCCTCAATTAATATCTGATTCGGAACCTCTAATTTATATGTCTGTAGTTCTTATTTATGTGTGAAATCATGAACTTTGTTTCGTGTGGATTTAGCATTTCGTGTGATGGGTGTTATGTTCAGCCTCAATTAATATCTGATTCGGAACCTCTAATTTATATGTCTGTAGTTCTTATTTATGTGTGAAATCATGAACTTTGTTTCGTGTGGATTTAGCATTTCGTGTGATGGGTGTTATGTTCAGCCTCAATTAATATCTGATTCGGAACCTCTAATTTATATGTCTGTAGTTCTTATTTATGTGTGAAATCATGAACTTTGTTTCGTGTGGATTTAGCATTTCGTGTGATGGGTGTTATGTTCAGCCTCAATTAATATCTGATTCGGAACCTCTAATTTATATGTCTGTAGTTCTTATTTATGTGTGAAATCATGAACTTTGTTTCGTGTGGATTTAGCATTTCGTGTGATGGGTGTTATGTTCAGCCTCAATTAATATCTGATTCGGAACCTCTAATTTATATGTCTGTAGTTCTTATTTATGTGTGAAATCATGAACTTTGTTTCATGTGGATTTAGTGTTTCGTGTGATGGGTATGTTCAGCCTCTGTTAATTAGTAGGTTGGACCACTTTATGAGGTAGTAAATACGTAGTTTATTACTCTTTATTCCAATGCTGTGTGCACTCTTTTTCTTTTTATTTATTTATTTTTGGCCTTTTCCAATAATCCATAGGCATCTTATAGGAGAAACATTCATCAAAGCGAGTTTCTATTTTCCCAGCTAGGTGATATGCATAGTTGGACTTGACCTTTAGTTATATGTTTTGTATGAGGGGATTGCCGAAGAAGATTCAATCTGTAAATTTTATTTTACGGAAAAAAAAAGAAGAGGAAGAAGAAGAAGAAAGAAAGGTTTTGTCATCTTATTGAGCTTTTAGTTTCGTGAAAGGTTTTAGGTGGGATGGAGTAGAGGGTTCCAATTTTAAGGTCTAGTTTATTTGAAATTCCGTGTTAACTTCTTGGCTTAAATTTCCGATCAATTGCCAGTGTAGCACCCATAATAAAAAGTGTAATATAATATGTTATAACAATGCAGGGGGTGGAAGTGGGCATGAGCCTGCACAGGCCGGTTTTGTGGGGGAAGGGATGCTAACAGCAGCTATTTGTGGGGACGTTTTTGCTGCGCCTACAGTTGATTCAATTTTAGCTGTATGGCCTCTTCCAATTTTTTTAATGTAACTAGAGAGGATATTCACCTATCAGTTATATAAAAATCAGAGGATAATCTAATGTTGTTGAACCTTAGGGCATTCGAGCTGTTACTGGTCCAAAGGGATGTCTTCTGATTGTCACGGTAATTCTCTATAATTAGATTTTAGTATCATTTTGCTTTATTGTTAGGCTGTGAATGACATCGTTAACTTGTAAATGCATGCTTCAACTTACAATACAAAAGGGGGAAAAAAAAAGAACATGCAAAAACCCTTTTTGGAATTGAAAGGGGAAAAACTATAGATTTGCTTGAGAATGGAATGTCTTTTTGGTTTAGGAAGTATTTTACAGTGATAAATGTGCTATGGTCAGAATTTGAGAATCCATGCAACTTTTAGTTCTTGATTCCTTGCTTTGCCATTTGGATGTTGTTAGAATTATACTGGTGACCGCTTAAATTTTGGTATGGCTGCTGAACAAGCAAAATCTGAAGGCTATAACATTGAGGTACATTTTCATTTGGAGTTTTCTTTTTCTATCTAACGTTTCAAATGTTTTTGTTGGATTCAATAAAAGATTATCAAAACGTAATTTCCTTTTCATAAGAATATTATGAAATTGTTTATGTATCTTGCAGACTGTGATCGTTGGAGATGATTGTGCATTGCCTCCTCCTCGAGGCATAGCTGGTCGAAGGGGTTTGGCAGGAACTATTCTTGTTCATAAGGTTCTCCCTCCCTCCTTTTACTCTATCAAAAACCAACTAGAATATACATTCCGTGGGAAAGAACTCTTTCATTCTCTTTTTTATTATCAGTTTTTCATTGAAAAACAATTCTTTTTGAAATCCCCAAAAGAAAGATGCTTCTTTCTCCAAACGAAACCATAAGGGCATGTTTGTTTGACCGTATTAGAGTACTATGTTATATAATAATACAATAATACAATGTTTAGTGCTACTATTGTATTGTATAAATTTTATGGATTGTAAATTAATACGGTTTATGTCCTATTATAGAATAAGGCTCATTTTTGGTGTAGTGTATTGTAATATTTTTTTAGCGGATTCATGAGCCATGTCCAGGTTGGGCGTGATTGGGGGCCGACATAAGGTCATGCCTGGAACTAATAATTATTTAAAAATTGAGGGGCACAATGCAAATTCATATATTTTTCTAAAAAATATTTTTTGACCCCAAAATTTTTGAAAAATTAAATTTTGACACCAAAAGTTTTAAAAATTTACATTTTAACCCCTTAATATAATATGTCATGACACCAAACACCGTATTATATTATGACAATACAACACAGTACAATACAACCTTATTCAATACAATACAATACACGTTGACCTTATACAATGCAATACTAGCGACCAGATGTAGCCTAAATGTTTTGCCTCATTAGTTGTGACAATACAGAGATAAAGAGTTTCTTTGCTAATCCTGCATAAATACACCAGGATGGTGACAAATGTTTGGTCTCGTACTTTGTGTCTGTCTACAAGAGTTGATCTTGCTATCGGTCACTAGCCAAATAAACACTTGAATCTTTAAACATTGTTATATTACTTTGGTTAGCTCTTGCCTGCTTGGAGGCTAATTTCAGTTGCTTTATGCATGAAGATTTTGAGGCCGCATGCATTCTGTGTGATCCATTTAGGTTCTGCGTACAAGATATGAATTTTGTTCAAGTGTATCCAATAAATTCCTCTTTGCTAAGCATGTATTTACTAAACCTACTTAAAACATTCTCGTCTTTCTGAAAAGTAGGTGGCTGGAGCTGCAGCTGCTGCTGGGCTTTCTCTTGCTGCTGTTGCTGCAGAAGCAAAACGTGCATCTGAAATGGTTGGAACAATGGGTGTTGCATTATCTGTTTGCACGCTGCCCGGTCAGGTTACATCAGATCGTTTAGGCCCAGGAAAGATGGAACTTGGTCTTGGAATTGTAAGTTAAGTCGACCTAGTTATTCTTAAAAGGGTAAAATTAATTAGCTAGCTTAATCCCTTTGAACATTGTTACTGTGACTGCTTTGAGTAACATGTACAGAATTTCAATTCGTCCTCCAAAATGCTTAAAATCATATCTCAAGTATACTGTCTTAAAACAATTGTATGCGCTTAATACTTGATATTACAAATTAGCATGCTCTAACAATTGCTGCTGCTTCTTTACCTTTAAAATCCTTTCATATTTGATTGACATTGTAAACTTATTAACGGTGTATTATTTTATAGCATGGAGAACCTGGTGCTGATGTGGCTGATCTTCAACCTGTGGACGTAATAGTTTCTCATGTTTTAAAGCAGATACTTTCACCGGTATGATGAAATGCTGTAGAACTGGTCCTTTAACTGAATAATAAATATATGAAAAAGACATTTTAGAGGCCTGGATACCCTAGGTTATTAAAAAAAAAAAAAAAAAAAGACATTTTAGAGGTTTCTATATTTTAAGTAATGCAGAGGCAGTATCCACTTGCATGTGTCATATTGTTAAAGAAAGCGTTGAGAATGACTGTGTTAGGAACCTGATAATTTCCTCAACCAAACAGCCAAACACTCACACACACACACACAAGCAGCCAACACCAGATTTGATGCAAACAGAGGAGTTTTAATGAATTTTACTTCAACACCAACTCATACAAACCAAAACCAGCTAGAGAGAATTAAAGAAAGCGAAATGGATAGAACGGAGAATTTGAGTACTCCGGGGACTCCTAATTTGGTGGTATTTGAGAGACCACCACTCTCCCTAATCTCAGTTTCCCAAAACTCTCAAAATCACAACATAACAAACTCTGCCCCTTCTCTATTTTTATACCTTTCCTCTAATCCTAGCCAAAACCAAGACAAATCAGCACTAACATAATTTCTGAGAAATTATGTCCAACCCCAACGAATTCCTTTCTCCTCACTTAACCCCTCTTAGCCATTAACTTCCTAAGATCTAGTGTCTTAACAGACTGTGTATGGTATACAATTTTTGTTGCCAGTAAGGAGTATCTGTTGTAGTGAATCTTTAATTTCTTTCATAATTTACATTTCATCAAATAACTACATTGTCATTAATAATTGTTTGCTAAAAATGGTTGTATTATTGTATACATAATAATTATATTGAAAAACATTTAATTCATATGAAAAAAGGATTAATTTTTCGTTCTTATCTGTGACAAAATCTGTTCTATTCTCCAAGTCAGCTAACATTTGTTGTCTTGTCTTAGAAGAACATACTGGTTTATCTGTAGAGTTATTTGTTGCTCAACTTGTCTTTTGCAATTGTATAGATTAAATTTTCTTTTAAAATTTGTAAAGATGTTTGTTGAATGAAGACTTTTTATCCTGTGCGGCATTCATTTATCTTTAAAAAATTATGCATTTATACCTTATAGACAAAGATAATACATGTTGGATTTTTCGGTGAAAGCATTTTGAATTTCATCTCATAAGTTAATTTATCGCACAATACCCACTATTTGATCTTTGCAGGAGACGAACTATGTTCCGATTACAAGGGGTAGTAGAGTGGTGCTTATGATCAATGGGTGGGTTTTCTGTTTTTGAATTTTCGGTTCCTAATATTGGTTTTAAATCAATAATCAAATTGTGAGCATAAAAATGAATGATTATCAAAATTAACATCGAAATAGTAGCATATATACCATTCGAGTGAAATCAGAAAATAAATGCTTACAATTGCATTGCAGATTAGGTTCCACACCTCTGATGGAACTGATGATTGCATCCGGAAAAGCAGTACCTAAGTTGCAACTGGAGCATGGATTGGCCGTTGATAGAGTATATACAGGATCATTTATGACTTCTCTTGATATGGCAGGTTTGGATTTGTGCATGAATAGTAAAGATAACGGAGTTACTGCGTTTTTTAAGATAGGGAGCAGGATGTGTCTTTACTTTGTTAAAGAGTCAATTTTTTAGCCTTACTATGGGATTTTAAGTTGAGGAGTTGACGGATGTCCCTTTTTCTTTAATTTTTCTTGGCTGGAACGACATGTTCTTTCATTGATCATTTGATTTATTTATGTTTTTCCTTTTCGTTTAGATACTTCGAAGGATATCATTGATGAAGTTCATTTTTCTTAACCATTTTTCTTCAGGTTTTTCAATTTCCATCATGAAAACAGATCAAGCTATTTTGCAACTTTTGGATGCGCCGACAAGGGCTCCAGCTTGGCCTGTTGGTGTTGATGGTATGTATTATTTTCTATTGTTGCTTCTTCCTTTTGTGTTCGTTTTTCTGATCCCCTTTGCATAGTCCTATGGTTGCTGAAGGTTGGATGATGCTGTAATAGATATTGCTCAAGAAACTCACACTCATACTCACGCGCACACATATACATAATATACCATATAACCTACACAAACATATACATGTTTACAAGTACCTACTTACCTCCACATGTAGCTTATATCCTTTACCATTCCAGAGGAAAGGAGTGAAGGTATTGAGTTTGATTCTTTTTTTGTTGAGTAGCCACCCGTGCAGGTAGTCATCTTCTTTTTGCTGAGCTTAGTGACCATCCTTGCAGGTAGTCACCCACCTGCCAAGATTCCTGTTCCATTGCCTCCTGCTCGTTCAACAAAGAGTGATGAGGTATGTTTAAAAATTGTAGGCTGCAATTTTTTGAAAATTGGGCAACGGGCAATATGCGTGGATTAAAGTTGCAGCCACTTGAGGTGCAAAAAACCACTGTTGCACCTTAGTTTTATGAGTATAAACAAAGTTTGATATTGTAACTCCTATTTCCGAATGTTGCTTTAGCTACAAGTTTGTTACCTGACTTCCTGATTTCTTGTATTTGCTTTTTTTTCCCCCCTCTTTCAAATATACATATATATATATATATATATATTAATGCTTACCTGACTTTCCTGAATTTCTATATTTGCTTTTCCATTAGGCATTAGGTCGGCCACTGCAACTGAATCAAGGTGGTCAGATTCTTGAGGCAGCTATTGAAGCAGCTGCAAATGCAGTTATTGATCTCAGGGATAGTTTAAACGAATGGGATAGTAAAGCAGGTGATGGTGACTGTGGGTCAACTGTGAGTTCTATCTCTTGTCTCTTTTATCTCATATCTTTTACTAATGGGTTCTAGATACAAATTATGTATTTTACTCTATTTGCTTTTTCAGATGTATAAAGGAGCTGCTGCAACATTAGAGGACATGACAAAGTGAGTTTATTTTAAAGTTCAATCTTTTCTGTGTTTATACTTCTTTTTTAAACAGTAAAATTTTGTTAGGAACATGATAGTTAGTAGTTGTTTTTAGTAGTATAAATAAGGGTCTAGTGGCTAATGAGGGGGCATGATGAGATTGTAGAGAGTGTCTAGTGCTGTGCACTATCTTGGAGGTCGGGGGTCCACGAAACTGCCCATATATCCTGTAATTTTTCATTTTTAGTGTGGTTAATGAAGCTCAGACTTCTAGGTTCCTATCAAATTTTCTTCCACCATATCCAAAAAGGAACAACTCATCTTTATTATTGGAACTGTAGTTAGAGTCATTCAAGAGGGTTCCTATATTTTTTCTTGATATATTGGTCGAATATGAGTACAATGATCACTATTTTAGCAAACTGTCTCTACCCTAAAGCAGAATATTCTCTAGGTATTAAGGCCTAACTAATTACAGTTGAAAAAGGAAACTACAGCAATCTACAGGCTGTATACACAAGCTCGGTTTGAGGGAAAATAAATTCATTTTCCAAGTCAATGAATGCATGAGGATTCGTCAACATGCCTATCACTTGCACTATTTGCTGTTTGTATTATATTGATTATTCTAACTTGGACATTTGAATGACCGACTTGTAATTTCTTTTAATTCTAGCAAAAAAAAAGTAATTTCTTTTAATATGCTTGATATATGATGAATGACTATCAATTATAGTGAGTGAAACTGTGAAAGGTTGGGCAAACCATCAAATCGTTGAATTGATCCAACCAATTCAATCCAATCCGTCCAAAAAAAAAAAAAGGATATCCAAAGAATATTGGATCAGATTTGGATGATAATTCCACTAATCCAATTGGATTGGATGTTGGATTCAACTTTTGAAAATCCAATAAAACCAATCCAATCCAATGTATTTATCTTATATATAAGATCATATAATTAATTGTGAAAATAATATACAATAGTGAAAGTTATAGACTATAAAAAAAAAAAAAACACACACACACACACACACATTATTTCAAAACAAATAACAAATTGTCTTGAAAATACATGGATTCATCATTTTGTTTGTTGTGTTTGGTGATTTTGGTTTTTATGTTGGATGATGGGGGACTAAATTGTCTTGAAAATATATGGATTTATCATTTTGAGCAAGTTTTACAAAATTTAGTTAGTTTTAATAAGTTTTGATGAAAGTCCAATATCCATTGGATTTGGATTGGATTGGATGATAGTAGTGTATTGGATTGGATTGGTTGGATTTCAAAGAATTTGTATTGGATTGGATCAGATTATGGATGGTAAAAAAATATTGGTTTTGATCCAATGTCCACCCCTAAGTGAAACCATTTTGGTCATTTGCACACGTGAAAAAAAAAAGGGTTATAAAGTAAAGCTAGTCAAATAAAGTAAATGGATTACAAGAATAACAAAGCATGCTTGTTAACTATAAGATATTTGTTTCTATTAATCAAGTAGAATAAGTAGTTACCAATTGTACTTTCTAGTTTCCTGCTTTTGATTGGCCATACTATTCTGAATATTAATAGAAAATTTATTAGTTTCTATTTCTTACTCCCAGTTATCCTTTGAATGATGCTGCCGAAACAGTGAATGAAATCGGATCATCCATTGGACGAGTTATGGGAGGAACAAGCGGGATCATGTACTTTCTTTTCTTTTCTTTTCTTTTTTTTTTTTTTGTTTTTTTTTTGTTTGCTTGAATAGGCTTTTATCTTACAGTAATTAGTTTCGGTTAAATTACTGAAAATCTTGTCAACTTTTCTTGAAACAGGTATAAAATATTTTGCAAGGCAGCTTACGCACAGTTGAAAGCAAGCACCCAGTCAGACTTCACGGCAAAAAGATGTAAGATGGTCGTATCCTGCAGCGATATGTATCTTAGTTCACCTTGACTTATAATTCTCCTTGTTCCAGGGGCAGAAGCGCTCGAAGCTGCTATTTCTGCAGTTAGTAAATATGGGGGAGCTAGTGCCGGCTATCGCACTTTGTTAGATGCGCTTATTCCAGCATCAGTAGTTCTCAAGGAGGTCATCAATAAATTCCTTTTTTCTTTCTGAGTTAATTTATGTGATGTAAGTAGTACTTACAGTTCTTTTTGTGTACAGAGGTTAGACGCGGGTGATGACCCTGTTACTGCAGTTCTTCTCTCTTCTGAAGCAGCATTGGCCGGAGCTGAGTCAACTCAACACATGCAAGCTCAAGTAATGCCCTTTCTGATCCTTTCGCATGCCATTTTCGGGCTTTTTTCCCCCCTTCTTCGCATTGTCAATTACACATGTCTTTTTATAAAAATAAAAAAATAAATAAAAAAAAGGAGTTGCCTCCCGGCAACTATAAACAAAAGAAAGCAGGCACATTTTTTTTCCTCAAAGTGCTTGATAATCAACAAAATTATTTTGCACCAAGTATTATATAAAATGATTAATCTCACAGGTGCCCCTGAACTTTGAAATTCCCACTATGCCTCTCAAATTTTAAATTAATTCCATTCAGCCATTCTGCTAGAATTTCTGTTAAAAACATATGAAAAAAAGGAGGTAGTGTGTTCACGTGGTCTTTCTACTAAAATTTATGTTTAAAAAAATGGAAAAAGATAACGTGACTGCAGTTAACTCCCTCTTTTTCTGTCTGATTTTAAAAGAAATTCTAACAAAGGGGTTTAGTGGGACTAAATCAAAATTCAAGAGGTAAAGTGAGAGTTTTTAGAGTTCGAGGATAAATTGAAAATTACCCTAAAGTTTAAGGGTACTAGTGAATTAAAAAGATATCCTAAGGAATGTTTTTTTTTTTTTTTTTTTTCTTTTTTCTTTTTTGGTTTCATAGGCTGGTCGTTCAACTTATATCTCTGGGGAGATACTTGCATCAGTTCCAGATCCAGGCGCTATGGCTGCAGCAGCGTGGTACAGGGCAGCAGCTTTAGCTGTTAAGGATAAATACCAGCCTTCTTAATATGTACGTATAATTATTTCTGCTCCTTTTTTTTAGCTGCAGAAATAACCAAATAATTCTCTCTTTTCTCTTTTCTTTTTTCTTTTTACACTTTACGCACTGTCAATTTTAAGTTTTACGCTTATGCTTTTGCGCATAATGCTGAGAAGCTAGCGTCATTTCATATATGTAGACGAATTATAAATTGGCAGACAGAATAATTTGCATCAAAATCTGAGAAATGTAACTTGCAAGTTCTATCCAAAATTAAAGGTTTTTTTTTTTTTTTTTTTTTTTTTTCCATTTTCATATTAACGTTGGGACTTTTATGCATATCTTAGGTTCCGTTCATTTCACCGATTTTTGTTTTACTATAATAAAAAGCTCTCAGAAACAATCACATTTATTTATTTATTTTTGTTACAGTAAAAAATTCTTACATAAAATCACATCTCAACTCGAATTAGCGAATTAAACGGGCCTTTAGTTTGTTTTCTTTTGAAGCATGGTCTGTTGCTTGGCTCCATGAGTGACTATTGTCTCCGTGATATTGATCAAGGCAAAATACAGCAGAAGTGCACAACGAACTTTCTTTTCCATCTTCTTTCTTTGTGTAAAATATTGTGTTTTCCGTCGGCGGAGATCTTGGCTGACTCTTCCTTGGGCGGTGTCCATTGCCAAGCTCAGCCACCACCAAATCCCACACTCCATCTATTGCAGGGCGGGCAATGGGGTTGGGAAATGAAGGGTTTAGCTTGCGGAGCGGCTTGAGATGGGAGGCTTGGACTTTGGAGATTCTTGCATGACAGATTTGGAAGGAATGTGTGGGAGAGAGGATGACCACATAGAGAGATTTTATGATCAAAGGCCTGAGAAAAAAATGGAGGTTTATTGCTTAGTGATGGCATTTTGGGAAAGGCAAAAATTGTCTAAACGATGGGATTCAAATTTAACACGATAGGGAAAGCGTTAGAAAAATAAATTCACAAACCAATAATTTCTTGAAGAGTATTGCTTTTTTTTCGGGGAAAAAAAAAGAATTGGGACTTGTCCCACGTTTATAAATTGAAATGCATAAATTTAGAAAAATTATCCCACATTTATCCTCTTATAGCTTATTGATGGATGATCTGACAAAGGTGCAGCTAAACATTAATTGATAAAAATACATATCTTTTGCAGTTTAGCTCAAATATACAAGTTTAGCATTTTTTTTTTGTTGTTGAGAAAATTATAGAATTTATCCTTAATAATGTACGAGTTTTGATTTTTATATCTCATTTTTTTATTAACATCATTTTATTAGTATAATTATTTGATTATAAAAGTTATTAATAAAGAATAAGAGATAGAAATTTTAACCCACACACTTTTAAAAGTATTTGTCTTTTTTTTTCTTTTTATTTTTGATATAAAGTCCAATTAATGTTGGGTTACGCTTTTCTCTGTAAGCTACAGGGATGAAGCCAACCATTCATAATCAAATCCTTTTGAACTGTTTTAGCCACACAAAAAAATATCCTTTTGAACTGAAAAATAAATCTTAACATGGATGTTAACGTCATGGAGTATAATATTAAGCACATTTAAATTATGAAATATATATAGTACGAAATAAAATTATACAAAAATATATGAAATAAAATAGTAAGCACCCTGTTTGGTAGGAAATATATTTCTTCATGTCTTATGAGAAAAAATAATAGATTCTTCAAAAGATTTTTTTTTTTTGTTAGGACAATGTTGCCATCCAGTACTCAATCATATTAATAAGTCACAAGTTAGTCTTTGATCTCTCCGTTTTTACATTTTCATCCTTGAAAGTCCTAATTTAGCGGAAAATCTGGCCTAATTGAACACGACCACTAAATTTGAATGGAAAAAATGCATCCCTTGCGCAAATTGCTCAAGAGTGATCAGGAAAATTCAAAATGATTTTTTTTTTTGGAAATATAAATATTTAAATAAAATTAAAATAAAGGGGAATTTGTAAAAATATCATTGATAAAGTAATATTATTTTATTTCAGTCGCTATTGTTGAACTTATCTTATGTCACTAATAACTTGTAAATTATCTTTTTATAATCTGTAGGTTATCTTTTGTAACCTGTAGGTGATTTTTCGTAGGTATAAATAATAGAGTTAGAAAAAATAATGGTTAAACTTAAAATTTTCTCTAAAATAAAAGACATGGGAAATTGGTTTGATCTAGGGTGCAAGCTAGACTTGGGGATATATAGGAGGAATGCCGGAGTTTTATTTTTTCGTATCCTGCAGGTGATTTTTCGTAAGGATATAAATAATAGAGTTAAAAAAAATCACAGATAAACTTAAAATTTTCTCTAAAATAAAAAACATGGGAAATTGGTTTGATCTAGGGTGCAAGCTAGACTTGGGTATATTTAGGAGGAATGCGGAATTTTTTTTTTTTTTTTCGTGGATCGACTTTTGCTAGTTGGACTAAAACTCTTGCAATTTCTGCAACAGCATACTAAAAAGAGACATGTATGAACTAAAATGCCCTAAACTATTTTAGAGTTCTTTTGGACAATATTATACAAAAATGAAATTATATACAATTTTTAAAGTGAACACTAATATTTATATCACTAACCCATGTTAGAAACTCGAGTGAAGCCGACTGAAACACGACCCCTAACCTGTTTTGGTTTTTTACTCCAATATCCCAATCCAAACTTGACCAGCTTTTAGGGATCCACTTGTTCAAAATTTCAAAATGGGGGCCTAAATGTAAAGAAAATAAGAGTTGAATGATGGGCTCGTTTAGTTTGTTGATTCGAGTTGATATGTAACTTTATGTAAGAGCTTTTTACTGTAGCAAAAAAGTTAGATGTGATTATTTGTGAGAGCTTTTTACTGTAAAAAAACTCGAATTCTAAACTCGAATCAGCGAAATAAACGGGGTCAGTTTTCCAAAATTTCAAAATGAGAACCCAACTAGCAAGAAAATATCAAAATACGAATCACAATTTAGACCCAAGTGTTAAAAGTTAAAAAAAAAAATTAATATCCCGTTCAGTTTATCGATTTAAGTTTTTAATTTAAATTGAAATATAATTTTTTATAAGAATTTTTAACTATAGTAAAATTAAAATTAAAAACTCGAATTAATAAAAACTCGAATCGGGGACTCAGATGCAAAAAACTTATTCCCTAGCCACACCCCAGTGTGGGAGGAGAAAACGACGTGGTTTCCACAAAAACAGAATAAGAAAAAGAAAGAAAAAAGAGAAAAGGAAAAAACCTCCAATGTCCTAATCCAAACTCGATCAGTTTATTTATCATATCTCAAACCCTAACACGGCTAGCTATCAGCCCTAACTTCACTCGCCAGCCGCCGCGCCGTCCGGCGTTCTCTCTCCTCCTTCCGGTAATTCTCAAAGCTTATACTTGTTCCCTATTGACTCAAATTGAGAATAACTCTTTCTTATCTGATTTATAAATAATGTTTATGCGTAATGTTTCAAAGTTCATGCTTACCCACAATGCGATTATTGTTGAATTATATAATATGTCGAACTTTTGGACAAAGATATATAAATGTGTTTTCAGTTTCTCAGAATTTGCTAGCTTTGGATTGGGATTTAGCTGATTTTAAGGTTTTATAGTTTCAACTTTTCCTCTGTTAACTCCAATGGCGACGGACGCGCCGGATCAAATCCCGGTTGAAGGGTTGGAATCCGTGTCAATCTCCAACTCCCAGTCAAAAGAGGAACCGTCTAGCTCCTCAAATGAAGTTAACCAGTAAGAACTAAGAATCTCTCTTTTTTTAATTCAATTCGTATTTGCATAGCCCATAACTAAGAATCTCTCTTTTTTAATTCAATTCGTATTTGCATAGCCCATAGTTTCTTTTATTCGATTTTTCCTAGTTGTTCTGTGTTACGATTAGAAAATGTGTGTTTCCGTGGTTTTGGGCAGACTGAGTTTGGAGGAGAGGTACCAGATTGTGAGAAGCGTGGGAGAAGAGTGCATCCAAGAGGATGAGCTCCGGAATTTGCTTGCTAAGAAGCCCGAGCCCGTTTGCTACGACGGGTTTGAACCATCCGGTCGAATGCACATTGCTCAGGTATTTTTGGGCATGTGAAGTTTTCTCCTTTCTTTACAGTTTCATCAAGCTCTATTTCATCTATCTATATTTAAGCTTGTGGATGGTTATGGCATGTACTTTTGTAACATGATTATGAGCCTATTTGATATTGCTTTTGGAGGTCCTAAAAGTCCTTTGCGTATAACACAAGTAATGTATTATTTATTGACTGTTTGGTTCATAGGCGCGGACAAAAAAATTTGAACAGAAATTTATTTTACTTTTTGAGAGAGAAAAGAATGTAGCAAAAAGGTTGAGCCCGCAAGAGAAATGGGCTATTAGTAAAAGTGCATAAGGGACTTTTGCCCAAACACCATTTGTTTTGAGAAGCTAGATTTTTACTGTTAATGCTTCTATTTTTCTTTTGATACAACTAAAAGCAGCGCTTCTTCCAAAAGGACTAAGCCTATATATGTCAAGAGATTCAATGGGCTGCTTTCTTTCTTGTTATGCAGGGGGTTTTGAAGACGATAAGTGTGAACAAGCTTACCTCTGCTGGGTGCAGAGTGAAAATCTGGATTGCAGATTGGTTTGCGCAGCTTAACAATAAAATGGGGGGTGATCTGAAGAAAATTGAGACGGTTGGGCGCTACTTGATCGAGATATGGAAAGCTGTCGGGATGGATCAAGAAGGAGGCAAAGTTGAGTTCTTATGGTCGTCAAAGGAGATTAATGCAAGGGCTCACGAGTATTGGCCTCTTGTAATGGATATAGCTCGTAGGAACAAACTTCCGAGGATAATCAGGTGCCTATATCTATGATGCTTTTCTGCGCATAATATAGTGATATGGTGGTGACTGGTGAATTTGGAGTTTAAACTGATGTATTTTTGTTTTCTAATTTCAGGTGTAGTCAAATCATGGGACGAAACGAGCAAGATGAGTTGACTGCTGCCCAGATTCTCTACCCATGCATGCAATGTGCTGATATATTCTTCCTTAAGGTGCTCGACTTTGTAATTTTAAGTTTTCTCAAGAATCACATCATAATTTCGTGAAGACCTGAATCTATCTTGTTGTCTATGTCTGCTTGACCATCGTATGGGGTCTTAAACTGGCAACTGCTTTCATTTATTTTATCTTCCTGGTGTCAAGACTCAAGATTAAAATAGAAGGATGTTTATTTATAATTGAGAACTAATGAATTGTTGTTTCTTGATATTAGGCTGACATTTGCCAGTTAGGAATGGATCAACGAAAAGTTAATGTACTTGCAAGAGAATATTGCGACGACATCAAAAGGAAGAACAAGCCCATTATTTTGTCACACCGTATGATTTAGATAGCCTATTCTCAAAATCGTAGCCATACAATTCTACTTCTGTTGCCTTCTAATGGTGGATGCTTATAGTTGCCTGGTTTTTGTTGGCTTTGCTTAATGGCAATTGTAGACATGTTACCTGGTTTACAGCAAGGGCAGGAGAAGATGTCTAAAAGTGATCCTTCATCGTCCATTTTTATGGAAGATGACGAGGTGAGTTATACTTGCCAGTTGTGAAGGAAATTTACACTCTAGTTCTGATAAAGGGCGGGGTTAGATTGTATCTAGTATCTAGTATCTGCATATGTTGTAGGAGAGGGCTCTAGAGATTTTTTAAATGGAACGTGTGAATTACCTTTAATTGGGTTTGTTTTACTCTATTTTATTGTCCTAGGCTGAGGTGAATTTGAAGATAAAGAAAGCTTTCTGCCCTCCAAAGATCGTGGAAGGGAATCCATGCCTAGAGTACATTAAGTATCTAGTTTTTCCCTGGTTTAACGAGTTCATTGTGGAGCGCAGTGCGAATAATGGCGGAGATAAGTAAGTTTCACAAACCTTAAGAATCAAACCTTTGCCGATTTCTTTCTGTCAGTGGAAGAAGTTTTGCTTGTTCACCCAATTGAAGCTTCATGCCTCATTGTAAGAAAAAGAAAATGCTGGGTGGGTTTTAAATTAACTAGGCTGTTATAACTTGTCGGTTAGCTTTTGAATACCGTCTCTTTGCGTAAACCATTTCTTATTTTTCACTTTTTTTAATATTAAATCCAGGGTCTTCAAAAGCTTTGAAGAATTGGTCGTTGACTATGAAGACGAAAAGCTACATCCAGCTGACCTTAAACCGGCATTATCAAAGGCATTGAATAAAATACTAGAGGTAGGCATTTTCACCATTTGCTTCGAGATGAAATCTAGGATTAATGCCCCTGTTCATGCAGTCGGGTGCTAACTTTTGTTTGATCGATTTCATTATCTCCAGCTTGCTAACTTAGTCTTTCCTATTTGCAGCCTGTCCGGGAACACTTCAAAAAGGACAGCAATGCAAAAGAACTTCTAAAAAGAGTTAAGGTACTACGCAAAGTCGGCCCTTAAATAAGAACTGATTTAGTGTCTTTACTCACCCATCAAATAACATTTTCATTCTCTTTAAGGTCTCATTCATTTCACCGATTTGAGTTTAGACTTTGAGTTTATAATTTAAGTCTTGTTACAGTAAAAAGCTCTCAGAAACAGTTACATTTAACTTTTTTGTTACAGTAAAAAACTCACATAAAGTCACATCGTAACTTGAATTAAAAATTCGAATCAGCGAACTAAACGGGCCTTAAGTTTTTGAAAGATGGCAATTTTACTAGTGGTAAGGAATAAAACCAAGTTTATTTTAGTTTTTTCTGTAGGCTTACAGAGTCACCAAGTGATTGATGATGATGAAGTATGGAGATTTCTCTTCTTTCCCTTTCACTTTATTCACAGGTTGGATAAAAGGGTCTGATAATTTTGATTGAGCATACTGGCTATTGTACTCATTTTTAAATAGTTGTAATAGTATAATGCTGATATTTATTCAGCAGGGCATTAAACATGCTTTGACTTTTTTAACCATTTTTTGTTTTATATCCAGATCTCCGTATAGTGAGAAAATGCTTTGGTTTACTTTTTTTTGACCCAATATTATGTGTGTGCATACCCTCTCTTGCAAGTTAAATATAACTAGAATAAAACTGTCAAGTTTGTGCCGGCCTAAATAGATTGGCCTGAGATCTGCTACTGTTAGTTTGGGCTTGGCACGGCCTGGCCTTACCCTAAATTTTTTAGGCTTAGGTTTGGATTGGGCCGGGCCGGGCTGATCCTCTCTCCTTTAGGGTAATCCCGGCCTTGTTCAAACATCATATATTTAAAGATTTTTTTTTAAATACCTCATAAAATTTCAAGCAAGGCCGGTTCTAAACTTTTTAGGCTTAGATTGGGTTAGGTTAACCCTCTCTATTTTAGAATCGGATCGGGCCGGCCTGACATTACAGTCTGGCGGTTTAAACTCACACCTTTACTACAAAACTATTATAATAATAGTAACAAAATAAATAAATAAATAGAATAGAATAGCTTAAGGTACATCGAGGTTAGAATGATGTCAATCGAGGTTAGAATGATGTCACTCTAGACAAGTATGCATCTTCTCCAACTCAGCAAATACTCCTTGTTCACATGAAGAAGTTAATAAATTTTGCTAAAAAAATAAAAATTAAGCAGAATGGAGTAAATAGCAGATTTAAATGCTCAAAAAGTTATTTAAAGTGAGCAGCTTATCACATAAACGTGTCATTTACGACTAGTAAAATGATTTTTTACTAGGTAAATTTTCTTTTGTGACTGATAAAAAAATTCACGTAAATAAAAATCTTTTATCATGTAAAATATTTTTTATTAGTCATAAATGAATCATTTACGTAACAAACTGTTATTTATTTTAAATAGTTTTAAAATTTGTTATTTACTTTTAGTTTAAAAAATCTGTTATTTACTGCCATTTTCGTAATGGCCTGAGGTCTGCTACTGTTAGTTTGGGCTTGGCACGGCCCGGCCTTACCCTAAATTTTTTAGGCTTAGGTTTGGATTGGGCCGGGCCGGGCCGATCCTCTCTCCTTTAGGGTAATCCCGGCCTTGTTCAAACATCATATATTTAAAGATTTTTTTTTAAATACCTCATAAAATTTCAAGCAAGGCCGGTTCTAAACTTTTTAGGCTTAGATTGGGTTAGGTTAACCCTCTCTATTTTAGAATCGGATCGGGCCGGCCTGACATTACAGTCTGGCGGTTTAAACTCACACCTTTACTACAAAACTATTATAATAATAGTAACAAAATAAATAAATAAATAGAATAGAATAGCTTAAGGTACATCGAGGTTAGAATGATGTCAATCGAGGTTAGAATGATGTCACTCTAGACAAGTATGCATCTTCTCCAACTCAGCAAATACTCCTTGTTCACATGAAGAAGTTAATAAATTTTGCTAAAAAAATAAAAATTAAGCAGAATGGAGTAAATAGCAGATTTAAATGCTCAAAAAGTTATTTAAAGTGAGCAGCTTATCACATAAACGTGTCATTTACGACTAGTAAAATGATTTTTTACTAGGTAAATTTTCTTTTGTGATTGATAAAAAAATTCACGTAAATAAAAATCTTTTATCATGTAAAATATTTTTTATTAGTCATAAATGAATCATTTACCTAACAAACTGTTATTTATTTTAAATAGTTTTAAAATTTGTTATTTACTTTTAGTTTAAAAAATCTGTTATTTACTGCCATTTTCGTAAAAAATAAACGACTCTACAATTAAGTATAAGACAATTCTATTCACTCTTTTTTTTGCTCTCCACACCCCCTTCTAACTACACACTCCCTTCTAACTACACACCCACATAATTTTTAAATGATTAATTTTTTTTTTTTTTCACATACTCCTATTATTTTAAAATCACATTTAACTATTTTCATTACATTATTAAGGATGGTTTTATTTACATCCTCTCTTTTCTCTACACACCCACCTCTTCATTCCCGATACCCCTTTCTAGCTATACACTTCATATAAATCAATTTATTACTTTAATATTATCTTTTATTTATATCTCTTTATTTTTTTATTTACTATCTTTTGTTTTGTAATAGCATGAAGCGTTTTTTCCCCTAAAAAACCTTTTTTTTTTTAAAAACAAATTAGTAAAAAAAAAAGGATTTTGTAATATATAATTCTCATTGTGATTTTCTTACCCAAAAAAAAAAAAAAAAAAAAAAAAAAAAAAAAAAAACAATATTTTATTTTTCCCACTTCTCAGTAAATTCATGTGTAGTCTATTTGATAATCCGAAAAAATATTATTGCATTGAATAGAGACGTCATCCTGTTAAAAAAAGTGTCCAAATACAAAGTAAACAAGACAAAAATAGCAAATTAAACGATTAAAAAAAACTACAAATAATAAATTAAAAAAATAAAAAAAGCGAAAGGTGAGTTGCATTTTTTAATCAAACAACCACAAGGACGAAAAAAAAAAACCCCCCACGAGCACAAGCGGCATATTTAGAAGAAAAAAAAAGAAGAGAGAGAGAATGGAAAAATTGATTAGCAGGTAAAATGATTCACTTAAAAAGACAACAGGTAAAATAATTAGCTTAAAAAATTGATTAGCAAACATTTAGAGGACGTTTGGTTTATAGATTCAGAATCATGATTCAGAACCATTCTCGTTTTACCTGTACTTTTTGTGAGAAAAAATACTGTAGAGAACTATGAATCATGATTCAGAATCATGGACGAATATAGGAAACAAACGTCCACTATAATCACAAAACGAAAAATAATAGCAAATAAAATTTAACATGCCTCCATATAATTTTTTAGAATTTAGTGATTAAAATGTAGAAATTAAGGTTTTGCTATGAATTTTTAGAATATAAATAATTTATAATTTAACAATATGATATTGAGGAGTTGTGGAGAGAAAAAATACCTTTTACTATTAGTTTTTTTTTTTAACAAAATTTGATTATATAATTAAGTTTGTTGTCTTTTTTGTCTTTTTAGATGTGAGTTTAAATAAAGAGATAAAAATTGAGGAGATATTTACAACTTGTTCAAGTGAAGAGAGAGAGGAGAAAGAAAGAGAGAAAATATGATAGTTCAAATGAAGAGAGAAAAGGAGAGTGAGAGAAAAAGGAGGGAGTTCAAACGAAGAGAGAGAAATTAGAAATTGAAGAGGAAAGCTAAAATCTGGTGTTGAATTTATCAAGGGTAATTTTGATAATTTAACTTCGTGAGTCCTTCAATTGTTGATGTGGCAGTGTTAAAAATAAAAGTATAAAAAAGTGATGCTAGTCATAAGATAATTGTTGTAATCAATGTTATTTTTGTAAATAAGCCTAAGCTAAAATATTTCATTTTCATTTTCAATAAGCTTATGAGTGAGGGGCTTCACATGTATTAATTTGTAATATCTTTATATTAGTTGTCACCTCTTCTCAATAATTTAAATAAAATGAAAATTTTTATTTATAAATTAGTACTTATGATAGCGTCTAAGTTTGTTTTTTCTTAATAATAGCATATGAAATTATATTTTTATTTGACAATGTTAAAAAAATAATTTTAGGCGACTCAATGGTTTAATGGGCCGGTTTAAAGATTTATTGTGCCAAGTACGATGAAGGTATGAGCACGAACATGGCACGACAATGAGGGCCAGGCCTACGATTTTAAAGTTTGGGTTAACACGAGCACGATATGAAGTTTTGATGGACTGGGTCAAGTACGACACGAAGCACGTATTAATCTAACCGATCATGGGCCAGACTGAGCCGGCACGACACACGATTAACATTTAAAGATATTATGAATGAATGTTTAGAGGGCAAAATGTTATAAGAGTTATACTTTTAAGAAAAATTTTATAATTAATGTTAAATAACATATTTTGATTCATTTAGGAAGCATAAAAATTTGTTATTTATCATATATATTATATCAAAAATATATTAGAAAACTTAAGTTTTTTTTAAGTTTTCATTCATCAAAATCATATTAAATTGAAAATGTGTAAAATAATTTTTAATGTAGAAGTGATGATTTATTTCTTTCAATTCTATCAGAGAGACTAAAAAAAAAGTATAATTATAGTATCACTAAAATAAAATTGTTCATGAAAAAAAGAAATCTATGCAAACATTAATACCATTCTTCCCTTCGCTGAAAACGGCGTCGTTCGTTCCACGTCCCTTCAAGAACCGCTCAAACTAGGGTTGAGTTCCGATGGAGTTCGATCAATTTCAGCCACAACATCCCTCAGTTTTCCGTCCATGGCGGCGGCTGCAAAAGCTGCGGACTTGGCTCGCCACTATGGTCGCTGCTACTTGGAGCTCTCCAAAGCTCGCCTCAGGTACTGTCTCTTGAAAACTACTGGAATTTTCGGAATTTTCATTTCTAGGATTTGTTTGTTACTTCTTTGAATGATTATTATTGAGTTTTAGGCTTCAGATTTCTTTAGACAAAAGAAGGGGATTGAGATTTGAACAGAAAATTTGGTGATAACTTTGTTGACTCTGAGTTTATTTGTTTTATTTTGTGATGCTTAGTGATCATGCTTACAATGTGCTTGTTGTTATTGCTACAACAATGGTGAATATAAGTGTATTTTTCCGTTTTTCCAAAGGAATTTGTGACACCGAGTCCAACCTACTGATTTTTGGTTATGATAGTTTTTAGGGTGTATTAGTGAATTACCACTGACCAAATCAAGCTCCATATTGGTTCTCATCATTTGAGCATTGTGTACTCTATTTCTCACTTCACATACTTTGTATTAAAATTTGTTTTTATATTTTTCTGCGAGCTCTAGAAACATGAGAACGAATAACGGGTTCTCTATGAATCCTGATGTATATTCACTGGTCCGCTTGCTCCAGTCTTGCAACACCCACCAATCAATACATCAAGGAAAGCAACTCCACCTTCTTTTTCTCAAAAAGGGGCTTCTGGGCTCCGATGTTACCATTGGTAATCGCCTTCTGCAGATGTATCTGAGGTGTGGCAGCACGAGTGACGCACATGCTCTATTCGAGGAAATGCCTCACAGAAACTGTTTCTCTTGGAATACCATGATCGAAGGCTACATGAAATCAGGGGACTGTAAAAGGTCACTAGAGTTATTTAAGATAATGCCTGAAAAAAATGATTTCTCTTGGAATACAGTAATATCCGGGTTTTCAAAGAAAGGTTTGCTTGATACTGCTCAAAGTTTGTTTGATGAGATGCCTTGGAAAAGTTGTGTTGCGTGGACTGCTATGATTCATGGGTATGCTCGAAATGGGCAGCCAAAAGATGCATTAAGACTCTTTAAGCGTTTGAGTTCAAACGCTTTAGAAGAATCTTTTGTTGATAAGTTTGTATTGGCAACAGTTATTGGAGTTTGTACTGATTTGGTTGCTCTTGGTTGTGGGAAGCAAATTCATGCACATATTCTGATTGATAAAGTAGAAATTGACTCGGCTTTAAGTAGTTCGCTGGTTAACTTTTATGGAAAATGTGGAGACTTGGACAGTGCGAATCATGTTTTCAATATGACAAAGGAACCGGATGACTACTCTATATCAGCATTGATCGTAAGCTATGCCAATTTTGGCAGGATGAGTGATGCAAGAAAATTTTTTAATGCAAAAAGTAATCCAAGTGTTGCATTGTGGAGTTCAATGATTTCTGGATATGTTTGCAATAATGATAACATTGGAGCATTAAATCTTTTCAATGATATGAGGGCTAGTGGTGTTCAAGGGGACTCCTTAACTATTGTGAGTGTTTTGAGTGCCTGCAGTATATTAGGCATCCTTGTACATGCTAAGCAATTTCATGCACATGCTTGCAAAGTTGGGATGATTGATAATATTGTTGTTACCGGTGCTCTTGTTGATGCATACTCTAAATGTGGTAGTCTAGATGATGCTTGCAAATTATTCAGTGAGCTCAAAGCCTTTGACACGATATTGCTGAATTGTATGATCAGTGTGTATTCAAGTTGTAGTAGAATTGAAGAAGCTAAACACATATTCAAGACAATGCCCAGGAGAAGCTTAATCTCTTGGAATTCAATGATGATAGGTCTTTGCCAAAATGGTTGTCCAATGGATGCCTTAGATCTGTTCCAAGAGATGAATAATCTTGGCTTGAAAATGGACAAGTTTAGCGTAGCTAGTGCAATTAGTGCATGTGCTGGTATTTCCTCACTTGAGTTTGGTGAACAGATTTTTGCTAGAGCAGTCATAATTGGACTTGAACACGATGAAATCATTTCTAATTCTCTTCTTGATTTCTATTGCAAGTGTGGTCTTGTTGAGAATGGGCAAAAAATATTCGACAGAATGATGAGGTGTGATGAAGTCCCTTGGAATGCTATGTTGACGGGTTATGCTACAAATGGTCATGGACTTGAAGCACTAGCTCTTTTCAACGAAATGCTGCAGGCTGGTGTGCTACCCAATGGTATCACATTTACAGGGGTATTGTGTGCTTGTGATCATTGTGGATTGGTTGAAGAGGGAAGAAGATGGTTTTATTCGATGAAATGTGACTATAATATTGATCCAAGCATTGAGCACTATGCTGGCATGATTGATCTTTTCTCCCGTGCAGGTTGTCTTGAGGAAGCAATGAATATGATTGAAAAGATGCCCTTTAAGGCTGACGTTAGCATGTTGTCATCTGTTTTAAGAGGCTGTGTGGCTAATGGTCATAAGTCTTTGGGGAAGAAAGTGGCAGAACAGATTATTGAGCTTGATTCCGAGAACTCAGGTGCTTACGTACAGCTGTCTAACATACTTGCCTCATATGGAGAATGGGAAGGATCAGCAGAAGTCAGAAAGGTGATGAGACATAAGGGAATTCAAAAGAATCCTGGTTGCAGCTGGTCTGATTGTTGAGCAAGAAACTTTGGTGGTGTCATAGTTTGCTAGCTAAAAAGAACTTCCAGAGCCTGCTTTAATTCCAGAGGTTTCTTACTTTTCTGTTTCTTCCGTGACATCAGAAGCTTTATTGGAATTAGTTTTGCTCTTCTGCAGAAAAATTTTTGGTCAAGATGAGAATGAAATAAGAAGGGCCTTTTTTTTTTGAAAATGCAGAAGCAATCTCCTGCATCGCCCAAGCCAAGTGAGTTGAAATTGAAGCCCAAAGAGAATGATCAATGCCTATCCCAATTTGGATGAACTGTCCAAATCAGCTCACTATGTTGTGTTTTTTATGTTTGCTATTAGACTTTAATTGAAGTGTATATACTATGAAAGAAAGATTCCAAACTCCACCACGAAAATTGTCTTATTATTTGTTACGTCTAAGTAGATTCCTGAGGCATGTATCGTTTGGCCTAATATAATAAGGGATGACGTGGCCTTTTTAAGAATGCCCATCATGGATCTTTTGGAGTGGCTTGTGTCATGAGATCCTATTCTTTTGTTAAGCGTTACCGTTAAACAAGGTACGATGCTGGGTTTAAGTTCTGCTTTCAAATATCCTATGTAGATTTCGAGCTTATTGTGTGTGGATGTCAATGATGCATTGATGCTACATGTTAAACAAGGTACGATGCTGGGTTTAAGTTCTGCTTTCAAATATCCTATTTAGATTTCGAGCTTATTGTGTGTGGATGTCAATGATGCATTGATGCTACATTGACTTGAGTCTAGAGGATCGACATTGACATGAGCTGAGTCTAGTTTCTCAAGAGAGCTTTCTTACATATAATCCGTCTTAGGTTTCATGGTATTGATCACCCGGCGTAAATTGACATAGTACCTATCCAAAACTCTTATGAAGCATTTAGTCCCAGCCCGTCAGTGACAACTATGACCTCTGGTCACAGCTTAACTATGTACCTTAGTAGTTATACTGCACATCTCTTCAACAGTTTTCATTAGGATTTTTTTTTTTTTTTCATAAGCATAACCCACCATTTTCTTTATATCCAGCTTGCTAGTTGTTTCAACTTCAGGAACTGGGTTTGTTCTCGGGAGTGGCACTGCTATTGATTTTTCTGGACTTTGTTGGACATGTGTTGGTACCATGATGGTTGCAGCATCTGCTAATTCTTTAAATCAGGTTTGTTTTGATTTATTTGTTTGATTATGTGATTGCTGATGTTATACTCTACTCTTGTTGTATCAGACAACTAGGCACTTTGAACCTTGGTTGAATGATCTCTTGTTGTATCTTAAGGTGTTTGAGAAAGATAATGATGCAAAAATGAAGAGAACAAAGCAGAGGCCTCTGCCTTCAGGGCGCATTACAAGATCTCATGCAGCTACTTGGGTGTCTTCTATGGGTTTAGCTTGGCACTGCATTACTGGCAAGCAAGGTGGCCTGAAATATTCTCTTCTACATGATATTTGACAGTATTTGAATCAAATAAATGTTTGGGAGACAGTGACAGGGGCTAATGTTAGAGCTCTTATGACAAGGATTTTGCAGGCTAATGCAATGGCAGCTGGTCTCGGCGCTTCTAATTTGCTTCTTTATGCATTCATATATACTCCCTTGAAACGGATTCATCCAGTGAATACATGGGTTGGGGCTGTTGTTGGTGCTATTACACCACTTCTAGGGTAAGTGTTAACTTTCCTTTTGACGTAATTTCCTCCTTATTCAAATTGCAAGAGTTGGTTTCCTATTGGGACCGAGTGCACAATTATTATTATTTTTTTTCAAATGTCTGTGATCCAAGTATCCTTGATTTGAAAATGGGCACCAGATGTTCATGAAAGTTAGATTTGTTTCATTTTTATTGTAGCTAACATGTGTGCTTCTTATCAATGATTGTCCGTGATACCATATTACTGTGTCTGACTGTTCCATAATTAATGTGATTAAAGGTTTTGTCTAGAATTGACAAGTTTGCATGTGGGCTCATGTTTTCAGCTTTTCTCTTTTATTTTCAGATGAGCTACAGCGTCATGCTAGATTTCGCTTAATGCAATGATTCTCCCAGCTGCTCTCTACTTTTGGCAAATTCCGCACTTTATGGACCCTTGCATATTTTTGCCGCAACGATTATGCTGCAGGAGGGTATGGATATGATTCTGAGAATAGGCTGTTAAATGAGGTTTCAATACTTGAAGCATTTAGTGACTCCATAATTTGTTACCGGTTTCTTTGAAGTTCGTAAATTTCTTTGGGCATCAGTTGAACAGAGCTATCTGCTGTTTAGAGAAAATCGCTTATTGTGAAGTTTCAGTTCCTTGCTTCTGACTACATGATGCATCTTTAGGATTGTACATGACGAAAGGTATTGGACTAATGAGGCATGCATGAGTTGGAGACGTAAACTGAGTTTTCTTGATGACATGATTGCAAATGCTATTTAATGCAAATGGTTCAAGTAACTCTGGAAAATTTTCTAACTTCTAATAGATAAGTAGATTGGTATATGGAAGTTGGGGTCTAGTTAAATCTCTAGATAGGTAATCTTCGGTGTAGGTTGGACCCTTGCACATTTGAGGGATAGTGCAAACGGCTTTTTATGAAGTTTCAAGTTCTTTTCTGTGAGGCATAAATTTTTTTCCTTTTTGTCCAGGTTTAAAATGTTTTCTCATGCTGATGCTTCCGGTCAGAGAACTGCCTCCGTGGCTTTGAGGAACTGCCTATATCTGATCCCTTTGGGGTTTTTGGCCTATGATTGTAAGTCACAAGATTTCCAAGCACAAATTGTTGTAGTTACTTTTTTTTGGGGGTAAATATTGTTCCTTGATGCATTTAAAAAAAAAAAAAAAGGGTTTAGCCTCCAGCTCTAGGTATTTTTGTTATGTTGGTTGATTAATTTTCTTTATGAACCCATTTTCAGCTTTTTAATTGTCAGAGGCTGAAGAAAATCAGTGCTAGTATTAACAAAACGCAACACAAACATTCATGGCCTGCTATTTTGTAAGGACCATATTAGAGAGAAAATAAACACAACTGTTATCATGGATGCTAGTATCTTTATCTAAAATGTCTCTCTTTCAGACGTGGATGCTAAGGGCTTGTTTGTTTTTATTTTCGTTTTCATTTTTCACGTTTTTCGAAGCTAAAAAATGAAAACACTATCTAAAAACGTGTTTGGCACAAAATTTTTCGAAAAACAAAAACAAAAACGTTTTTTGTCTTTTTGTGAAAAACTGAAAACGAAAAAAAGTCGTTTTCTCGTTTTCGTTTTCTCTTTTGAAAACGGTTTTCTTTTTTTTTTTCTTCTCTCTTCTCTTCTCCGCTGCCCACCCCCCCCGACAGCACCCCCCTCTCCCACTCCGACATCAACACCGACTGAAGGAGATGAAGGACGCCGGAGATGAAGGACGACAGAGAGAGACGTCGCCGGAGATTCCCTCGCTCGATGGCTATCGTCAGTCGTCGGACGCCGCCGCCGTCACTACGCCCACGTGAACACCGCCATCAACACCGGCTGAAGGAGATGAAGGATGG